GAGCACACGTCAGCGCGGGAGCCGGCAGAGAGTGTATAATCCCCGGAGGCCTGGGTCGAGTAATCCCTAACCCGCACACGCTGCAATACACATAGATCTGTATTTACTTTGTGGGGGGGCTGTCGGATATTTACCCCCCCCCCAAATGTCTGCAGCACTTTCTAAGAGCATTGGCACGCGCGACAGACGCCGGGGGAAGCCCCGCCGGCTATGATCTCACGAGGGACTGTCAAAGAGAAGCGCGCCGTGCGACAGCAGGTCCGCTCCGCAGCGCCCCATCCCTCGCGACGCGGAGGGGAGGGGAGGACGCCAAAAAGAAGAGTAGGAAAAAGAAGCAGCACAGCAGACTTGGGGGGAGATTCATTCACTCATTCACTCGCGCATTCATGTATTCATTTCATTCAACTCGCTGTTCAGGTGCGTGTGTTGTAGCACAACACTGTGTGCGGCGCGCCGCGGTCACCGCGCTGAATAGTGGAGTGGAGCCGCACAAAGGCTGGGGCCGCTGCAAATGAAGACATAAATACTTGACGCCCCCCACCCTCTCTCCCTCTCTCTCTCTCTCTCTCTCTCTCTCTCTCTCTCTCTCCTCTACGCGCAGTGTGTGCGGTGCGGTGGCGTCGCGGTCCACTGGTGGCAGTGCTGTCCAATCTGCGTGACGGACCGGCCCGCAATGGCACAGGACGGCGCCACGAGCACGACACGCTACGTTTGAGAACAAAGTGCATCGCAAATGTCGCCGCACGGGTACTTTTGTAAATCCTCATTATGTTTGTTACTGGACTGTGTGTCTACCCTGAAACCGGCTGTCAAACCGTTACGACGTGTGTTACTTTTGTCGCGCTATTGAAGTGAAGGAATGCGACACACTTCATAGCTAGAATTTTTTTCACAACAATATGAGACTTCAAATTTGACTGCCACTCTCATGAACCAGTATATTTGCGACAAAGAATTCCGTGATGCTACGCGGCAGTAAAAGAATCTTTCGACGTGATGGTATAATGTTCTCATTACAAAGACAATTTTGTTTACAGCGTTGGATGGGCGCAGGAGGGGAGTCTGAGAAAGCCGGAATCTGAGCCCCCTCTCTTCTCTTCTCCCGTTGTGATCCGAACACATGCGAGCGTGCACAAGGTCAGGCAAGTTCAGCTCAGTGGGAACTGGTGCGGGCGCCGAGGCGGGCGCGCTGGCGCAGCCTCCGGAGGCCGCTGGGGGCTGGAGCCCGGGCTGGAGGGCGAGCACGTACGGCCTGGAATTGATAAGGGATCGCCTAAGCGGAGGCCCAAACTACTGGGGTGGAAGGTGGACGGGGTGCTTCCCTAACCAGCCGGGCGGGGCGCGTTCGCTTTCCTTTTCTTCGTCGGCTCCCCTGTCCCCGTCCCCATCCCCCGCCCCCACCGTCCACAACCCCCTCTTCTTCTCCAGCAGTTCCAAACTTCCCCAACGCAATTAGGCCTCAACAACCTTCAGCTTGCCGGGCCTAACCACCCGTTCCTTTCCTTGCCTTTCTCTGCTGCGGAGGGCACGGCACGGGGCGCAAAAGAAAAAAAAAGGAACAGAGCGAACAAGGAAACGAAAAAACACACAAAAAAAAACCAGGTCAGTAGTGAGGTCGACATCAAATCATGGTCGGAATCGCAGAAAAATTAGCGAAGCGAATAACGAACATGTTATTATTTTTTCTGTTGAGTTACTCCTGTGCTTTCACTATTTTTAACAGTATGGAGTGTCATGTCACCGACCCGACCCGGAGGGCTGAGCGGGGTGAGCTTTGGTCTGAGTCCCCAGGGAGGGAGAGGAATGGGGGCGGGGGCGAGTGCCGCTGTCAACCAAGCGGAGCCCGAGTGGAGCCCGAGCGGAGCCTGGTCGCTCCGATGTAGGCCGAGGAGCCCAGAGAGGCCGCCGTGCGCGCCACAAGATCGCGGCGCCACGCCGATCTATACGGCATACGGCGCCCGCACCTTCCCTCCGGCTCAACACTTCTCTCTCTCTCTCTTCCCTCCATCACTATCGGGGCCCTTTTTCCCGCTCGAGACGAATAAGAATACCGGCGGAATAATTTTCTGATGCTTTTTGTGGGCGCCGGGACGTGCCCTGCATACTCCGCCCACTCGGGCCCGCCACGGCAGATCGCCCGCGCCTTCTTTCGGCTCGGCTCGGCCCGGATTTGTCCCGGACGTGATGAGGCCGGATGAGGCGCCCCTTTCTTTGATTGCCTCGCGTCCTTGGCTGAGCGTGAGGCGCCACCCTCTCCCCA